AGACACAGAACTACCACATGAACCAGCAATTCCTGCCCTTCACGTGCAGTACACCCGAAAGGATCGAAAACAGGAACCCAGCAGACCCTGTGCACAGTGTTCACAGCAGTGCTGCTCAACAGAGCCAAAGGGAAACAATCCAAGTGCGTATTGATGGATGAATGGACGAGCAAAATATGCCAGCATCCAGTGGAATATTATTCAGCCAAAACCGAATGGAATTGGGATGCATGCAAAACTCAGATGGCCCTAGAGAACATCATGCTAAGTGAAAAAGCCAGACACAGAAAGTAAATATTGTGTGATTTTACTTGTATGAAATACCCAGAATAGGCCAATTCATGGAGACAGAAAATAGGATAGAGGTTACCAGGGACCATTGGGAAGTTATCCTTTAAAAGGCACAGAGATTTGTTTTGAGCGTGATAAAAATGTTGGGGGTACTCGCTAGTGGTGATGGTTGCACAACACTGTAAATGCATTCAGTGCCCTGATGTGTGCACTTATACATTACTTTTCTTTTAAAGCAAGTGGCCAAGTGACCTGGGGAGGTGTCTACCGCTAGAGCATCCCCTCAGGGCAGCCACCTCCCATCACGTGTTGACGATAGTTGAGGAGACTTCACAGGGAAGTCAGCGTTACATGCGGCAGGGACACTGTGGAATCCTACGGTGGGAATGGTGGGGAAGGTTTGCGGTAAGGCTAGGAAAAATGGGCTGTCTCATTTCTAATACGGGAAAATGTGACTCTGGCTCCTAAGGGTGTTGGGAAGACGAGCAGAGCTAAAACCTGTGCAGCACTTAGAACGCGACAGTGAGGGCTTCAGAAATGCTCACAGTTAGTACAGTGGCACCTTGGTTCATGGATTTCATTTGTTCCGCGATCCTGGGGGAGATGGCTGCGCTCCTGTTCATTCGGGGAAGTTGGCCCAGGCTGTTTGTTACCTGATGCAGAGCCTGGGAAGGGAAGCCAAATTTTGTTGACCTGTTCTCAAACAGAAGCATTTGTGAACCGAGGCAGTAATGTATTTACTTCTGCTGTGTGTGAAAGAAAAACAGTAAGAGTGAAGGGGCGAGATCTTGCAGTTGCCTCAACTTGGAAAAGCACTTTGCAAAGCAGACTCACACAAAGTCCTAGAGCCCGCATTGTCTGCAAAGGGCCAAAGGAGAGAATGGTGGCAATAATGTCTTCCATTGATTACTGCATCCCGAGGTGGCAGGTGGAGTGTGAAGCACAGGAGAGGGACATGCAGGCGGCAGCCTTGGGTCAGCCTGGTTCTGCGACTGACAACCTCACAAGAAGTTTGGGTCTCCCAGGAGGAAAGCCAGAGTCCTGCCAGGAGGCTGACGTGGCTTCTCTTTCAAGATGAACCTTGGACCCAGCTGTCCAGGCGATTAACTGTGGTCCAGATGTGCTGTTGAGACCCGGAGTAAACAACAGATCCTGATTATAGCCCAGGAACAATAGCAGCTGTTCTGCTCTTGGCTGGCAGGAGCTGAGGAGTGGCCTGTGGGAGAGAGGCAGAAGAATCTGCTGTCCCACAAACTCGGCAATGGCGGAGCTCATGGACGGGTGGAGCCCGGGCCTCGGGGGCCACCTGCTCTGCCGCTGCGTGTCAGGATGAACAGCTCATGAAACCAGGGCGGAGACCCTCTGAGCTGGAAAGCTGCACAGGAATTATTATTCTAGCCTGTTGGCTAGGTGGCTGGGGGCCTAGGACCTGGAGGAGCAGCTTTCTATGGTTGCCACATGTTCAAGAGAGCTGTAGAGGTTGGAGTCAGTACTGGACCAAAGCCATGGTGCGAAGGATTGAGCTGCATGCCTGGGCTGGGGGGAATGTGTGCTTTGGGTCTTTCCATTTGCGGTCCCCACTGGGTGTCAGTCTTTGACTGCTCTCAGAAGTCCTTCTGGGGCTGAGGTTTGCCTGTCTCTGCAGCTTGCCCTAACCCTAACCACCCACAAGAAAGTCACCTGTGATCAAAGCCTCAATTGCACCAATGCCACCCTATCCCCAAAAGCAGAGGCCCCTGACCCCAGAAGAAAGCCAGGCTGGGGAAATCATGGCTGGAAAGGATGTTGTCTGGGAGGGGAGGGATCCTGTGGTGGCCCCTCAGGGGTCAGAATCTACCCAGGCCAAGTGGCATCAGCTTTGCCCCCGAGAAAAAGCTGCCCTGGCTGGGACTGACTCAGGAGCCACAAGAAGAAGCCAGAGCTTTCGTGGTGGCCAGCTCTTCCCCCCGGTAGTGAGTGACTTGTTCACAGGAAGAGAGTGAGGGGAATCTGTCATGCAGACTAAACTCAGCCCAAGGAATTCAGTGAAACAAACAGAGAAAGGATTCAGTGTTTCTTCAACCCACCTCACTGGAGGCTGAAGCGTGGGCATGCAGAATCCCTGAGCCACCCCCAGGCTGGGTATTGTAAGGAGGCAGGTTCTGAACTAAGGGCTCCATCCAAACCCAAACCAGCTCGCTTGGAGGCAGTGACAGGGAGCACGACCTAGACTAGGCAGTCAGGGAAGGCTTCCTGGAAGAAGTTACCACTGGAGCTGAGGCCTGAAGGCTGGGGAGAACTTAGGGCAGAGGAGAACATTTCCAGGCTGTGTGGAGAGCCAGAAAGACTGTGGTCCCCAGAGGAACCCACAGTGCTCTCAGTGAGACTGAGAGGGCTTAGCGAGGGTGGCAGAGTTGAAGGAATGTCAGCGTTGAAGGCTCATGTCAGGGAGTTCCTGCTTTACCCTGGAGCCGCTGGGAACCTTAAAGCATTTCAGCCAGGAAGTGACCCGTCAGTGTGTGCCTGATCTGGTTTCCCCAACGTGAGCCCTGAGACAAGGTTCCAGAGCAGATGGTGTCCACAGGAGGAGAGTCCAGAAAGTACCAGTCGAGGCGTGGGGTGGTTAGACTAGGAGGGGCTGCTGGGAAAGCATGTGGTCATGCAGGTCACCTCAGAGCAGCTGGGGGACTCTGGGAGTCTGTGTGGAGCATGCCCCCCAGGTGGCCCCAGCAGGAGGGAGCTGGGGGTTTATTCACCAACTCTTATCAATCAATGGCGGGCGGTTTTGGGACCTTGACACTGTGCCCTGGCACTTCGAGCTTTCCGCTGGGGTGGACAGCAGAAAACTTTCCCAGGGGGCATCTCAAAGCACGGGTGCAACTAGAATGGGGTGCGGAGGAATGTGGGGAGGGAACTGGCATCCCTGAGGCCCATGCAGGGCCACAATAGGAAGCCAGGGGCAAATTCCATTTATAGTAACGTGAGGACAGGGCTGGGGATATAGCTCAGCAGCACAGCGTCTGCTTGGCAAGTGTGAGGCCATGAGTTCGATTCCTGGGTTAAAGAAAAATGGCTATAATACTATGAGGATGGTATATTTATAAGAAAGACACGGCCTGTGGGGTGGGAAGTGTGGTCACTCAGGATTGGCAGCCACAGAACTGTGACCACCTTGGGCTGCAGGGGTGAAAGAGGGATTATTCCCAGAACTGGGAAGGAGACGTGTAGCAGCCAGCCCACAGCCACCTCGCAGGACCCTGAGGGCAGCAGGGACTCTGCACTCCACCCCAACCTCCGGCCCAGTGACAGGTGAGACAGGCCAGCCACGGCAGGATAGGACAGCACAGAGGGCCGTGGATGGCACCTGGTGGAGGAGAGTGTTTTCGAACAGACAGGGCTCAGGAGTGATGAAGTGTCCCGGTGTCCCAGTGGGGCAGAGATGAGGATGTCACGTTAGGTCTTGAGCAGGGGCCCCTCAGTGACAGCGGTCATCATTTCTCCTTGGTCACCCCGTGTCTTCTCCCCTATGACACCCTCTTCTTGATCCCTGCAGCTGTCTCCAGAGCTGTGCTCAGTGTGGAGTGCACAGAACTCAGACATCGACTCTCCCTACCACTAACTCTGACCGCAGTAAATCCCTTCTTCCTTTGTGCCTCAGTTTCCCTGTCAGGTCAGACGACCTTTCAGGGCTGCCCCGATGTCCTCCCAGGCCCTCTTCCACAGCACTGGGAAGGGTCATGTTCCCCATTTAAACAGTTGTGGGAAGGCAGCAAAATAAACATTGTCCTCTTGGAGAAACTGAGGCCCAGACAGAGGAGGGACTCGGTAAGCCTCACCCACTTCCCAGGGGGATGTGGTCCACGCCCATGTTTGTCTTCAACAAACCCAACAGCTAGCGTGAAGCTGCAAGGTCTCTCTTGTACCTTTGTTTGTGTGTGTGGCTGCCAGCGGAATTGCGGAAATGGGTAAGAACAGTGGTTCCCACCAGGCTTCCAGAGCCTCCTGCCCTGCCTGGGGATTTAGTGTCACTCCGCTTCACTTGGAGCCTACGGGTCCTGTGGGAATGGCAGATCTTACTTTGTAGGTAGTTTGCAGAGCCCCTCTGATGATGCCCCTGCACAGCCATGACCCCAGCAGCCCTGACACTTGCCTTGACTCTGTGGGCCTATGGCCTGGGCACATGAAACGAAGCCTCTGATACCAGAACCCGAGACTCAGTAACCCTCTGGGGCTTACTGAGTGCCAAGGGGATCTCCGAGACCACCCTGTTGGAACCACGATTTCCCCATGGGCTACGTGAGGACACAGCTTTCCAGCATGCGCACAGACGTTCTATCAGAAGTCAACTTTTCCAAACTGACAGTTCTGGATCAGTGACAGCCTATGTACAAGTTCTCTTTGGCTTGTACCATGTTTGCCCAGATGGGTTTATTTGCACAGTGACATTAACTTCTACAGCTAGAAATCAAATAGAGATTTCTGGTTCCTTTAAGAAATGAGAAGACCTGGCAGCACTGGGCTCATATTTCTGCCTCAGTTTGGTTGGGCCACAGTGGAACTGCAGCCCCACCGGCCCCAAGTGATGAGACGTACATTCTCCCGCCCGCCTCAGCCCCCACCATGCCTGCAGACATCCAGCTGGAGCTGAAGACCACTGCCTTTTATCACCAAGCTTGTGCTGCTCTGTTTGGGATCAGAGGGTTGTGAGCAAAGTATTTTGGATCACCACATTTCCAGCAAAAGTAGAAAAAATTTATTTTTATTGCTTGCCTGCAGTGCTGATACAGAAGTTGGTCTCCAGAGCGATGTTTGGTCCCTGGCCTCATCTTTGCCACCACGCCCTGTCACCGTCACCCTTACACCATCTTTATTGGCTTTCACACAAGCTGTGTCCACAGTGACACAGGTCCTGACAGTCCTTGACTTGCCTGAGAGGCTACAAAGAACAGAGAGACTGGGGCAGAAGGAGTCATCTCTAATATGATGGGAAGCTCGCCAGCCCAGAAAGGATTCCAACAATAACATTTTTAAAAACAACAAATTAAAAAAAAAAGCGATGCAAGAGTGAAGGATCTTAAATGATGGGCTGTAAGCAGCTGGTGTGGGGGGTCCTGGCTAGCATTGTGATCTTTGTAGCAGTGACTATCAGAATAGAAAATGGAGGAGCACAAGCAGTTTGGATGGAGAGCCTCAGGCTTGGCCTGTAAACTTGGTCACCTCGGTGAATAAAAGAGTCTGTTGAGTATGCCAGCCACTCAGGAGGCTGAGGCAGGTGGGTCACAAACTTAAGGCTAGCTTTGGCACATTAGTAAGGCCCTGTCTCCACATAAGATAAGAGCTTGGGATGTATCTCAGTGGTAGAATGCTTGCTTTGCAGGGATGAGGCCCTGCATTCAGCCTTCAGTATTGATTAAAAATAAAACCATTTGCCATCTGGGATGAGAGCAGGAAGACGGGCCCCAGCTCCCATGGTGAGAACTGTCCTCTCCAGGCCCACTGCAGTTACCACACAGCCCCACTCCGGTTCCCTGGAGGCTCCCCCAGAAGCCCCTGTGGGGCGTAATTCAAGCAGGTTGCCCCACTCAGGTGAGGCAGACACTTGGCGTGGTATTTGAATGTCAGGTCCCCATGGTTCATGTGACATAGCTCTTCATGAGAGCCAGATGTCGGAGACCGGTCACAAGAGCCCAGGAGGTCATCGTCCCAGCCATGGTCTGCATCCCAGACCTGCACTCTCAGAGGCCCTCCTGTGGCCAGGACCACGTCGCCAAAGTCCAGATGGGTCCACCACTTGGGGTTGTTATTGTTCCACACGACGTGGGTCCTCAACTCCCGCTTGCCAAAGAAGACCTTCACGTAGGCATCTGAAGCAGTGAACCAGTCCCCCCACAGATTCTTAGCCTGGACAATGGTCACCGTCAGCCGGGCCAGGCCCCTCTGGCTTGGGCAGCAGTCCTTGGTGATGACTGCTGAGCCGTGGCACACACACTGGCATGGGTCATTGGGCCTCTTCTGCTGCCCTGGTGGACAGGGCTTGCTGCAGTCCTTCCAGCGTGCCTTGCCCATCAGGTATTTGCTTACTGCCTGCTTCAATGCCTCCCGCCGAGGGTCCTGGTTCCTCACCAGCATATGCAGGGGCTCCAGGCTGTAGTCCACCAGGCCAGGCTTCTTGGGCAGTGAGGTCACCCAGGCTGAGAACTGCTCGGGCCCCGCCTTGCTCCCAAACAGCAGATCATACATGGATTCATGTTGTCCGCCTTCCACTTTAAAGACGCGATCGCGATAAGTCTGGTGGAAGGAGGCCTTCATCTTGTGCTGCTTCTTCTTCTCCTCACAGGCCTTATATTCAGCTGAGGTGCTGGCATGGCTGCTGATGCTGACCTGGGCCTCCACATTCAGGCAGTCCCCTACCTCGTCGGCTGTGAGCCCCTCGAGGGCCAGCTCGCAGGTGCGCAGGGCGGTGAGGGCCGAGGTGCGGCCGCCCAGCTCCACGCCCCGGATGAAGTGGGTGCCATAGTTGGAGATGAGCCTGTGGTAGTCAGGCTCGGTGGAGGTGTTTAAGTAGGGGGGCAGTGCCCGGAGGGCCTTCCGGAAATCATGATGGAGCGGGGGAGTGTGCACCAGGCGGTAACTGTGGGGAGAGAGGGGTAGCTGGGCTCACCAGAGGATAGCATTTGACCATTCAGTGACTCCTTTCAAATTTCCCAGTCACATGTGAGGATAGAATAGGATTGGAACCATGGGGCCTGGCTGCAAAGCACAAGCTTTAGGGTACTGGGTTGGCAGGAAGCCTACGGTGTTGACTCTTGGGGATGTAGGTACTTTGGGCAGGTATTTCTTCTTTTTCAAAACTGGTTTTTAAATGTTTTATTTTCTTATTATAAGCAGAACGACAGCTTTGCAAAACGTGCTGTGGCCTTCACCTACTATATGTACCCCTGGATTGGGCCTATGTACCTGGGCTCTGAACTGTTCTGGTCATACCTGGCTTCACTGTGCAAGGAACGTGGCCACCAAGCTGAGGCAGCAGGGCAGGTGACCACGCGCTGCTCAGTGAAGGACCTGGGTCCCAGGCTTCCTGCTCATGGCAGCTGGGGAAATGACTGTGGCTGCTTGGGCAGCATAGCCCTGGCACACACCGGGCATGAATATGGGTTGAGTGAGGCCCATGGACTTGCCCACATCCCCTCTGCGTGGTTCCCCACTGGTCTGCTCAGAGTTGGGCCCTCAAGGATGGAAGAGACCATGATGAGGCTGTGATCTGAGAGCTAGGACTGTGGTTTCTTCCTGCTGGAAGTGGCCTTTAAGTCCCCACGTTGCCACCCCAGAGTTTCTACACCCCCCTGAGTTCCCGCCCCCTTGTCCACCTGCAGCCTTCCCGCCCCTCCTCACCTGTATAGGCGGCACTCCATCTTGTCCATGCTGAAGCTGTACTGGTCCTGATGGTTCTTCTCGGCTGCGAAGTTGGCTGCCTGGGAGTGTGAGCCAGCCACGGATACACGTGTGTTGACACTGGGGTTGGGAGATACTTCCAGCCCTACCCGCCAGTCATTGGTGATGGTGGAAGCCGCGTCTCTGGCCACGGCCTCCGTGGAGCTGATTTGGGCCTTGAACACATGGCGCTGGCAGCCGGAACCTTCTGCCCGCCAGTGGTCCAGTGCCAGGGGCAACAACTGCACTGCATTCTCCTGCAGGGCATTTTTACAGAGGGTACAGGTGCCATCGGGCCGCAGGAACTTCTGGGTGTCCACAAGGAAGGAGCCTGAATGGCGGAGGCTGGTCACGTCCACACCTTCCCCAGCCAGCCATGCACCTGGCACAAAGCCGCGCTTTTGTTTGCACTCTGCAGGTGCACCTATGTAGCAGGGGGCTGGGATGGGTGGAGGCAGCACCAGGAGAATGCCCAGGAAGAGCAGGTGGGTGACCATGGTGCCTGGGAAGTCGCAAGCAGAGAGATGCGGGTTATCTGATGTCTCCACCCCAACTGTGTGTGTGTCACCCAATGCCAGAGATAGATTGTTCCTTGCAAGCTTGGTCTACCTTCTTCGTTGCCCAGAGAGGGTAAGGGTCTTGCCTAGAGTCACATCGCAAGGAGGAGTCCTTTGCTATTTAAGGCCTAGTGGATATCTAAATTGATGGCTCTGTCTCTAGGATACAGCAGCTGATGCTGAAAAGGTTGCTATGGCCACAGAAGAGACAGAGTAGCTATAGCAGTTCTGGGAGCCCAGATCCTGGAGAAGTGTCATTTGGTCCCAGAATTTGCACCCTTTCCTGAACTGATACTTCCCTCTGTGGCTCCAGCTCTGATCCCTCCCGCTGAGTCCTTAATGGAACTGGAAAAGAAACCAGGTGACAGCATGGCCTTACTGTCCCTCAGAGCATGAGCTGACTCTGATGGCTGAGGACTGCCAGTGTGCCTGCACCAGGTGCCTGTACCTTGTGCCCGCACCTCGCTCTAATGCAGGAGGAGCTTGGCATTAGCTCTTCAGATGCCTCTTGGTGCTCTGGACTCCACTGGTGGCTCCTACCAAGCTTTGCATACCTCCCTCATGTTCTAGCTGTGCCCTGCCTACCCAAAGGAGTGACTTGAAGGTAGAATCCAGGCAACTCGAGGGGTCAGGAAGGTAAACAGGTGGAGGGGAATCTTTCCAAAGTCCCACTGTCACCCAGCTTAGGAGGCCAGCATGGTCCCTGACCTTAATTACCCCAGGGAACACAGCTCTCCCCCCGGCCTCATCTCCGCAGCCCAGGTAGCCTGTTTGCAGTGATTGTAGAAGTTCTGATCATTGGCACCTTGTGGGCCCCGTGCGAAACCTCTCCATTCACACATGAGTCCCAGGGTGAGCACAAGTCTGCCCAGTGAACAAACAATGGAGCGTCATGGCCTTCTGACACCCAGGCCTCTTGTCATAGGGACGCCACAGCACTTCCTGCTCCATCATGCTCTGCCCCAAAACAGCAGCTCCACTGCCTCCCGGGGCCCCCAGGTCCCCCCTCTGGCTCTTCCCTACCTGGAGCCCGAGGAGAAGCTGTCAGAGAACACCCTCGCTGCCCACTGGTGGCTGCCGAAATGATGGTGCCGGCCCCCAGCACATTTGCATTATATGTGCTTCCTGCCCGCCCTCAAACTGTGGCCACAGGTCCCACCAGCACCCATTCTGTCATCACCTCCTCTTCCGGCTCGTGACAGCCCTCAGGAAGTAAGTGGCGATGGCCAGAGGTGCATCTGCCACACGGGCCTCCTGGGGCATGGGACCCTGGAACACACAGCAGGGTGAGCGCAGGACCCGGAGCATTTGTACTTGAATTCTAGCCTGACTGAGCTGGTGGCTGAGCTGCTCTCCTGGCATCCTCTGTACTGTCTCCTCCAGTGAGATGTGCCAGGAGCTGCAGCGAGAGCTGAGAGCCGCAGGGACCTGGGCCAGTGCAGTGAGGCCCTAGCTGTGTGGCCAGGCAGGATGCTTTAGCCTCTCCGTGCCTCAGTCTCCTCATCCAAAAATAGGGGTGGTGGTGATGTAGACCCTGGTGGTGGTTGTGACAACGAGGTAAGTCAGGCTTGCTGGACCAGCACGGAGCCCTCAGCCAGCATCTGCGTACGTGACTGTCCTCTCATCACCGAGCAGTGGGTGACTACTTCCTGCCCATAACTGCACCCCAGCCCTGCCCTGGGCCTGAACCCCAGATGCTGGGGGGCCTCGGGGCCCCTCTTCTCTACCCTCTGCCTTGTGGGAGTTTTGGGTGGGGAGGTTTCCATGGGCAGAGTGACTCATGAACAGCTGTGGGGGGCAAGGTCACACCAGTTGTAAGGTGGGGGTAAGTGGTGACCAGTTCCCACTTCCAGCTGCCTCTGTGACCGGAACAAGCAGCCGCAGACCCCAGACCACGTGTGATCCTGTGTCTCATGGGTTGCATCTCATCCCCTGAATCTCTGTCCCGCTGCGGGCCCACTGTGACGAGAACAGGGACTTACGCTCCCTTCTCGGAACTATCCCCATCTCCTGTCCTCCCCCATGAGCAGCAGCCTCCTGACAGATGTGCAGGGGACCTGACGGAGGCTGAGGATTTGTGGAGCTCCGTTCCTGGCCGTGCTGGGAAGGCCAGTTTTCGGGACCTGGAACAGCAGTGAATTTCTTAATAGCTTCTAGTCTCGATTTCTCCAGGAATTTGCAGAGTTGGAGATCCTAACTCTTTCTGTGTCTGAATTTCCCCATCTGTTAAATCCAGATGACCCTGAGATCACTAAGATTTCTTCACATGGAGGATGAGCTATGCAGTCAGCAGGTTTTCAGAGGCCAAGGTCTAGGATGAGGCACTGTGGGGTAAATGGCTTGTGTCACCGATGACAGCTGTCCTGTCCAGTTGGAAGTTGGTGCTCCAGATGTTTATGACGTGCTGGTTTTCCTCAAAGACATAATTTCTATATGCATGCTATGTTTTCAGGCACCTGACACCATTTAAATGGTTTTTAAAAATGACTTTATTGAGATGCAATTCACAATCATGTATTCTCCATTCAAAGCACCCAACTCAGGAATTTTTAGCACGTTCATAGCATGTTGTCTGTCCACAACAGATTTTAGTTGAGTTTAGTTTTTTGAGACAAGATCTTGCTATGTAGTTCAGGCTGGCCTTGAACTCATGGTGATCCTCCTGCTGCAGCCTCCCCAGTGCCGAGATTACAGATATAGACCATCACACCTGGCTACATAGGTTTTAGAACATTTTTATCACTCTCAGAAAGAAATTCTGTACCCACTGGCAGTTAGTCCTCACTATTCCCTATCTATTTCCTATCCTAGTTCCACTACTATGGATTTTTCCATTTTATATGTTTCATATAAATGAAGTCATGTAATATGTGACCTTTTATGTCTGGCTTATTTCATTTAACATATTTCCAAGGCTCATCCCTATTGTAGCAAAGAACAGGAATTTAATTCCTTCGTGGCTGAGTAATGTTTGTGTAGATATACCACATTTTGTTTACCCATTGGAACTGATGAGTTGATCATCATTTGTGTTTTTGTTTTCTCTTTATTTGTGTTGTTTTTGACTATTACAAATAATATTGCTATGAATGTTGTACATAAATTTTTTTTTTTTTTTTTGTTGGTTCTGGGGATTGAACCTAGGGCCTTTGCACTGAGCTACAATCCCTATGCTTTTTAAAAAATATATATTTAAAATTTTGGAGAGTCTTCTGAAGTTGCTAAGCTGCCCAGGTTGGGCTCAAACTTGCAATCTTCTTGCCTCAGTTTCCCAGAGTTCTGGGATTACAGGTGTGCACCACCACACCCAGTTGTGCACAAGATTTTGTGTGAGCCTATGACTTCATTTCTCTTGGGTTTAGACCTACAACAGGAATTTCTGGGTTATGTGATAATCCTATGTTTTTTCTTCTAGGAACTGTTTTTCAAAGTGATTGCACTGCTTTACATTCCCACCAGCAGTGAGTGAGGTTCCAGTTTCTCTGCATCCTTTCCTAGCTGTATTACTATTATCCTAGTGGGTATGAAGCGGTACCTCATTGTGGTTGTGAACACGTTTCCCTGGTGTTTAATAAGCCCAAGCTATTGGTGTGCTTATGAGCTATTTGTTTCTCTTCCTTGCAGAAATGTTTGTGCAAGTTCTTTGGCCACTTCGTCCTGGATTTTCTTTTTCTCTTGTGCTGCAATAGCTCTTTACATATTTGGATTCTAGACCTGTCTCACATATACTATTTGAAAATATTTTCTCTCCTCTGAGGTGTCTTTTCACTGTCTTGATGGTACCCTTTCAAAGCACAAAAAATGTTTCATTTTGATGCAATCCAATGTATCAGTGTTTCCTTTTGTTGCTTATGGTTCTAGTGGTCTGTAAGAAGCTGCTGCTAGCCCGAGGTGAGGAAGACTTATTCTTCTGTAGTCTTCTAATGGTGTGACATCCTCATTTAGATTTATGGTGCATGTGGAGTTAATTTTTGTGTATGGAAAGGCATCCAGTTTCATTTTCCATATGTGGGCCGCCAAATAGCATTCATAGGTTTTTAAGGTTACAAAATATCTACTCTTGATAGAAAAGCTCCATAGATACTGGTTAAACTTTGAATGTTTGTATCTCTTCAATATTCGCCTTACAACTGAATCCCCCAGCACACCTATGTGTATAGCAGCACAATGTCTAACAGCTACATCTTGGATATGCTTTTTATGTTCCCCTCAATAGATGGATGGACAAAAATTGCAAAATAAAAGTAAAAGACAGATAATAGAAAGTAGGAGGATCTTTTTTATTTATTTATTTTCAGGAGATTTTTTTTTTCAACTGGGAAGGGGACCAAGAGTTGCAAGGTACAGGGAAGGCTAGGAAAGGTAGAGGCTGAAAAAATAATAGGGGTGTGTTATGAACGTGTACTAACTCCCCATGATAAGTAAAATCATTACATACTGCAAACACATGCTACTTACACAAACAAACAAACCAGCCCACAATGCAATACCAGTAAGTGGTGGGAACTTTCAGAGGTAAAGAGGTTCTTGGGAAAGGGTTCGAGGGAGTCTCCGAGTTCTCTTTGCCTTCTGTTCTTCTGGCAGCGGAGGACACAGCAGCCAGATGTCATCTGTGGAACAAAGCCCAAGTCCTCATAGGATGCTGCATCTGCCAGCGCTTGGGTCTCGGGTTTACCAGCCTCTAGAATTGTGAGAAATAAATGCCCAGTATTTATGAATGACTCAGTTCCTGTAGCTGAATGTTTGTTCCCCAGAATTCATTTGTTGGAAACTGAATCCTCATGGTATTTGGAGGTAATTAGAATTAAATAAGGTTCCCAGGTGAGGCCTCCAGCATGAAAATAGTGGCTTTATAAGAAAAGGAGGAGGGGCCCCAGCTAACATGCTCACCCTGGCTCACCATGTGCTTGTTTTGATGCGGTAAAGAAGGCCTTTGCAGATGCTGAGCAGATGTTGGCCCCAGGCTGTTAGACTTCCCAGATTCCACAGTAGTGAGCACATGAACTTCTATTCTTCATAAATTTCCTGGTCTCAGGCTGGGGATTTAGCTCAGTGGCTCACGCACTTGCCTGGTAAGCACAAGGTTGTGAGTTTAACCCCTTGTACCAAAAAATAAATTTCCTGGTCTCAGGTATCTTGTTATAGCAACAGAAAATGGCCTAAGATACCAGTCTGAGATATTCTGTTATTATAGCATCAGGAAGAGATTCGGATGATACTCTACATAAGAGGCATGCAGGAGATACTAATCCTGATTGCATCTACTTATATAGACTGGATCTGCTACATAAATCAGATCATGACTCTAATCAGTGGGTCCCTTAGGTGTTTTGATGCTACACATCCTAAAGACCCACACGCAGTCGCAGGTATTGTGTTCTTCACCCTGTGACAATTCTGAGGGCCCTTTTCTTCACAGGGTTTTGCAATTTAATCGTTCTTCTTCCTTTCCTTTTATACGTGTTACCCACAGTTCTGCTCATTTTTCCTTGGGTCTCCTAAAAACAGCTGAGGAATCATCCCTCTTTTCCAGCAGTAGGTGAGCAGGCAGAGAGCTGCCACGCTGACTTTGTAGTTGGGTACATTTTAAGTCCTGAGTCTCTGTCTTCAATAATCGTGGTTCTATTCCACTTTCTCTTTGTCTTTTCTGCTAGCAGTGCTGGCCTGTTGTTTTTCTAGAAAAATTTCAGTCTGTCTAACATTTCACACTGTGGGCTTGAAGCTGCTGTGTTCTGTCTTTATCAAAACATCTAAATCAGTAACGATGTCTCCTTTTTATCGCAGACTTTCATGGCTTTTATTTTTGATTCTAGGATATCATTGGCGAAGATTTTGTGTATTCTACTAACTTTTCCAGAGAACTGGTCCTGGGCTTTATTGATCTTCTCTATTACAGCATCATTTTCTACTTTATTGGTTTCATTCTGATTTCCTTCCTCTTTCCTGTATCTAAGTCTATCTTTCTATCTAGGAATCTTTTTATCTCTTACGTTTTGGGGTGTAGTACTTTAATTTCTCATGGGGAGTTGGTAGTACATGTAGTACATTTTAGTGCCTTCACATTTTCTAAATTCTTTTATGATTTCCTCTTCGACTTATGAACTATTTTAAAAGTATACTTATTAAAAGTTTCGCGCCCGTCAGGTTTTAAATGCTCTTTCGCAGGTAAGT